AACGATCATCGTTGTCGTAATGACGGGCTACTTGGAAAACGTAGGCGATGCATTATTAGGATGGTTTGGTAATTTTCTCCGTGAACAGCAGTTCTAGGTTAGAGTCCGAACATCTCTGCCCGACCCTACTCGAGTGGTGTGCGACGGTCTTGCGAGAGCCATCCCCCCCCAAATTTTACTTTTCCGGATGACGCTAAAATTTGGTCTGCGATCAAGGGGATGGACGACCACAAGATCCTCCATGTGCGACCTAGATGGGACCTGGCATTGACCGGTGAGGAATTCACTGCCATTAAATGTGGTCAAGTGACCCATTATCCACATCCGCCATAGACACGCCTGTCACTAGAATATTGGGGCATATGACCTGCAGGCAAGCCCACAGGAACTTGACCTCGGTGTGCTGGTGCAGGACGTCTTCGGTTATTCCAGACAGTCGGAATCGAAAAGTGGTAACCAGCACGTTGCTAGCTTGCGCATGGCATTCAAAAGTTTGGATTCATTCATCTTCTCTGTGATGCTCCATGCCTGCGTGCATTAACACGTCGAATACGTAATGCAGCCTTGGAACGCTTGGCTAAACCGTGACCTTGCAGCGCTTGAAACTCACCATAGTCAAGCAGCGACTAAAAACACTCGGGGTGTTAAGTAGACGCTACAGGTGGCTACGAGGAGTAGTAGTATTAGTAGTATTATTCTACCAGATACGAAACGACCCCACGTACACATTTTGTCACCTATTGCAACTCATTCCGAACACTAACTTCACAGTCAATAGCCTGAAACGGAGTCAACAACACAGTCGACTTTTCATTAAGACTGCACGAGCCTCAGCTCATAGCGACTCAGTGATTCCGCCATAAGTAGCCATCGAACGTTGCGGTGACTACGCTGTTTATGTGCTCAACGACAACCTGGACGTTAAGAGTTCTATCCTACCGGACGCATCATTACCAACATTTGCCAGCGGACCAGTTTAGTCGTTAACACATTTGTGAAAGAGGATAAGTATATTAGCAGAAATGTAATGGAACGATCATCTATGCTAGTGAAGGATATGTTCAAGATGTCCGCCGGCATTCTGCTTGCAGTGCAGAAACCGCCTGATGCATTTGGCGAGCACCTTCTTCAATGTATCCTCGTGATCGCGCGACATTCGTTCACAATCTTTCCTTTCAACTGGTCCAATGTACGCGGCCTTGTTTTGTACGCTCGCCACTTCAGATAGCCCCATAGAAAAAGTCTATGGGGTTCAAATCTGGTGAGCTAGCAGGTCACTCCATTGGTCCACCGCGTCCGATCCAATGGTGGCCAAATTTGTCGGTGAGGTAAGCACGCACCGTTTTAGCAGAATGTGCAGGTGCACCATCCTGCTGCCACCAAGTGGTACTGCATGCCCCTTCGGCCTCCAACTGGGGAAGCACGAATGTCTGCAGCATTTCCAAATACGACGATGCTAGGAAAAGATAAGACTTTAGTACTTCAAAACAACAACCTACCGGTCACATTCCCGGAAAAGAAATATGGTCCCAAGATTTTCTGGCTTGTTAATCCGGCCCAAACCATCAGTTTCCCATTGTGGTGCATACTTGATGCGATAAATTTTCGTGGGGTTCTGGTAGCCCAACAGTAATGTTTCATTGTTCCACGCAGATGACAAAATGCCACATCTGTAAAGATAACAGAACGAATACCCCCGTGATCCAGAAACCAGCGGCAAAATTCATACCGCTCTCCGGATCGCATGGGTTCAAAACCTGCATTTGAAGTGCACGGAATCCCCGAAGTTTTCATTCCCATAATATCCGGTGTACCGCATGTCGGGTCGTGTCACAGTGCTGTGCGATCCGACGGATGTTGAGATCGGGACTTTTTGACATTTGGCTGACTACAGCGCAAGCTATACAGTCGTCCGTGGTGCTGCGAGACGGTCCGGTTCTCTTCATGTTACACACACCCAGTTTGCTCGAACTTCTTCACTTGTTTAAGCACATACCGGGCGGTGAGGGGACGCATTCCTGCGTTTATTGCATTGTATTTTCTTGAGGCTGATGCAGCGTTTAAACCGCATTCACCATACAGCCGAGTAATCAGCGGGCGCTGAGTAACAGGAACGTTACGTGATCCCGACTGCATTGTCTGCTCGTGCTCCATTACCTGTGACTCCATAATATTGACAAGTTGTAATGCCTAACCTCGTCCTCAGCTGAGCTGCCATCGATGAACAAGTGAGAAATAAGCTTTCGAATAATAACGACTTGGTAGTATTTTGCTTTCCTGTTAATTGAGCCAAGTTCTAGGTGGAATTTCCCTTTCCTAAACAACCTACGACATTTAAAGATTACCCGGTTGTTTCAGTTCGCTTTAGTGCAGTTGATATATCATGAACGGGGCACCAAAGTGTTGTGGATGCAGTTGCCACGGATCGCGTTGCCAGAGTGGCGAAAATGAAGAACGATAAGTAAATACAGTTAGACATAAATATGGTATTATCAGAACGGAATCAAAAAGGAGGTGCATGCAGCTAAGCGCATTGAAGTATGAACAGATACATGCAAGTGCACGAATCCAGGGGCAGCACTGACTCCGACAATGCAGCTCGCTCGGTTGGTTGGGACTAGCACGAGGCCCCCATCTACAAAGACTGCATGTAGCCACTTGACCAAGTCTCTCGGTCAATTTCAGAGTGCTGCATGCAGAATATACCATAGTTTTATCAGGGCTTCATTATCATACATGCTATTAATGACATCAAAAATATATTAATAGGAGGATGGGGCTTATCTGTAATAGTGTGTAAGCTGAGAGTGCGCAGTCGACCTCACTTTATGTTAACTTTTAAGCTTTCTACCCTGAAATAGCTTTGACGGGTTACCGGGTTCTTCTCGTCTTTTTCCATTAAAGACTGACAGTCTTGTATCGTGTGTAGACTTTCCATGATTATAACGGCAGTCACAACGGTTAACCCATTCGCAGCTAGGATCCGAGTATGAATACGCAACCAAACTTACCAAGCAATTACTGCAGAATTTTGCTCTTGCACATGTGATCTAGGAGACGCTTTAATCTTTCTAAGCATCCAATATTTTCAGCCACTTGCTAATGAGCCATAAAATGCGCCGATGCCAACACATAACTGCGAGGTGACCTAGATCGCGCTTGGGAATGGATAGCACAGAGGGTGTATGAGCATGCCCCAAAAGATCATCAACGTTAACAACAGCAGTATATCAGCCATGTGAACTGATGCTTCGCTGCCATACGACCATGGAAAAATATGCAATAAAAAAATAATAAGCGGGAGAGAAGAAAGACCGACCTTGTGTAGACAACATAGCGTCACAAACAGCTGGCTATCGTGCAAAGATAAGACGGCATCAGCGGTACAGCTTCCTTGCGGCTTTCACTGCCCCGCGTCATAATCCGCCATTACCCCGCAGATAACTCAGCACCAAACACACTTTAAACAGGCAATCCGATTAGGAGACAGCAGCAGAGGCGCCACTGGTGTCGGTTGCGAACCATGTCATGTAAAGTCTCGAGCTAAGCACTAGGTGAGTCACGTGGACTTCAGTCCGAAAGACGAGACGGACCAACGGCACCCAGTTTGGTCGTAGTATTATCGTCGTCAATTAGTATCGGTACCCTTTTGTCCAAAAACCTCTTTTGGTCCACGCGCCTTTGTGCTGTTGGTGATGATGATGAAGAGTTAAGTTAGCATATCCATATGACTTATTCGAATTATCTTATTTGATATCGTCGTTTCAAGTGATTGGCTGTTGCTTCACAGCCCGGTGAACAGCCGTTTATGTGCAGCTCGTTTGACGACGTCAGCTAAGGTTGATTCACGAAGTAGTACAAAACGCTGTTTGTTTGTGATTTCCGCTTATGCTCCCACCAACTGCAGTTCAGATGTTGTCAAGGACACATTCCATCACGAACTGAACACGCTGCTATGCAGTGCTACTAGTTCAGATATTATAGTACTTGCAGGGGATATGAACGCACAAGTAGGGCGTCTGAGCTCTTCAGAAGCTCAGCTGGGTGGTAATTGTGGACTTAACTCCGAACGGACTGACAACGGGGAGCGTCTGTTGCAACTGTGTGCGGAGCACCAGTTGTTTCTTAGTAGCACTGTTTTTAGACACAGTGGGCGCCGAAGTGCCACTTGGCGTCCTCCTGTAGCTGGCCAGCGATGGACCCAAATTGACCATATTGCCATAAGTTACAGGTGGCGTGGTTCCATCCTGGATTGCCGCTCATACTGGAATACCTGCGTCGACTCTGAGCATGCCTTAGTACGCTGTCGTTTCTCCATGAACTTTAACGGGAGACGCACCAAACGTCTCCTCCTATCGGCAACTCAGAAATTGTCTCAGCCCTCGGTCAGGCAAGCCTATCAAGGAGCACTGCATAGCGAACTCTCGCTGTCTTGTCCTAATGACACTGAGCTTCAGTGGAGTAAGATCTCGGCCGCCATGCACAACGCAGGAGCATCTGCTTGTGGCACTATCAATCGTCACCGCACCAGTTACTGGATATCCGAGAGATCGGTAAACTTGTCAGAATCTAGAAGAAACCTCCCGGTTGGCTCTGAGCACAATGTGACCAGACGGTCAAGTAGGAGCGAACTAAAGCAGAGCCTACGTGCTGAAGAGGAAGCCTGGTGGACCACTCGGGCTCAAGAAATCGAGGAGGCAGGAGCAGTAGGGAATTATCGCAAATGCTTTCAGCTGATCTGCACCACTGGGTGCAGAAAACCAGGCGTCAGTGAGACAATCAGAGACAGCGCGGGTGCACTGATACACAATAAGGAGCGCCGTGTGGCTCGTTGGGCGGAACACTTTCAGGATCAGTTCAGTTGGCTCCCTGCTCCCGGACCTCTTCCTACTCAGGTGATGCAGGACGAGCCATGGGCGGTTAGTTTAGTGCCTCAGTCGGAGGCCGAGGTCCGAAACGCGATCATAGCCCTTAATGGTTTTCGTGCCGCTGGCCCGGATTCCCTCCCACCTGCACTATTTAAGGATGGAGGTGAGATCTTCTGTAAAGCACTGCCCTCCACAATCGCACGTATCTGGAAGGAAGTGGGTCGCAGCTGATTGGAGCAAATCAATTTTAATGGTAATATACAAGAAAGGCAGTCGCACAGACTGTTTTAACCATATGGGTATTAGCCTAACGCCAGTGGTGACTAAATTACTTTCCTCGATTCTCGTTCGTCACCTCACTGTGGAACGGGAATCTCGGAGTAGGGAAGTGCAGGTCGGCTTCCGCCAAGGACGTAACTGTATAGACCGTACATTCACTCTGTCGCAGGTGCTAAAGCAACGCCACGCACGCGACAGACCGACAATAGCTATGTTCCTTGATTTCAAGAGTGAGTTCGATTCAGTCGATCGATCGATTCTGTTCGAAATACTTGCGCGGATATGTATTCGCACGAAATATGTGAACATCCTACGTGCTCTATACTCTAACACTACGGGCCGCGTCAGGGTGTGCGGTGATCTGTCGCATAGCTTTCTGACCACAAGTGGCGTTCGTCAGAGTTGTCCGATTTCCCCATTCTGTTCAATTTCGTCGTGGATTATATCATGGAGTGTTCCTTTGCGGAATCTCACGATGTAGATGTTGAAGTGCTACCTGGTGGAAGATTAGTTGATTTTGATTATGTGGACGATATCCTCTTGCTCTTCGACTTTGTTGCGGTGGCATAATCAACCCTGGATAGCCTGTCTAGAGTGGTCCCATTATCTGGTATGGGCTTGGCACCTTCAAATTGCAAAGTGTTGCTGCAGGAACACCAGCCACTTGCTGAACTTTTTACCCTTTCTAACGAGGAACTCTTGGTGGTTAATTTTTTCACATTTCTTGGCAGCTGCATCAGCAACGATTGGCGCATAGAAATTGACGTCAGCTCACGCATTGCAAAGGCCAGATCTGCCTTCTTGAAGCTGCGGCATCTTTGGCGACAGAAAGAAGTTTCGCTTTGTCTGAAAAGTCGTTTATACTAGGCCACATCGAGGGCGGTCCTGATTTATGGTAGTGAGACTTGGCCCTCCGGTCTGAAGATCTGAGGCGCCTTCAAGTCTTTGATCATCGTTGTCTGCGAAGCATTGTTGGTGTCGGATGGCACCAGCGTGTCCGCAACGATGATGTGCGTAGGCGAGTAATAGTAATGATAATCATGTTAGCTCCATAGAACAACATTTAGCACTGAATAAGTTGCGTTGGCTTGAGCACATGCTACGTATGCCTGGTCACCGCTTACCTAGCAGGGCCTTCTTAACTCTGCGAGGTGTAGGATGGCGCAAGGCTCGTGATGGAGAGAAGTTGACTTGGCAGAGGGCAATGAAGACACTTACGACCAAACGGGGTGCCGTTGGTCCGTCTCGTCTTCCGGGCTGAAGTCCACGTGACTCACCTAGTGCTTGGCTCGAGACTTTACATGACATGGTTCGCAACCGACACCAGTGGCGCCTCTGCTGCTGTCTCCTAATCGGATTGCCTGTTTAAAGTGTGTTTGGTGCTGAGTTATCTGCGGGGTAATGGCGGATTATGACGCGGGGCAGTGAAAGCCGCAAGGAAGCTGTACCGCTGATGCCGTCTTATCTTCGCACGATAGCCAGCTGTTTGTGACGCTATGTTGTCTACACAAGGTGTAGGCGCCTTGATTCTGAATGTTAGCTAAGGGTATTAAAGTTTTCAGGTCAGTCCTCCTTCTCTCCCTCCTTTTATTCATTATTTCGTAGATAATCATGATTGTATGGCAGCGAAGCATCAGTTCAAATGGCTGCTCTATGGCTGTTGTTAATGATGAATGGGACTAAGAAAAACTGGTGGAAAAGGATGAAGGGATGTGCCAGCAGTAATATGTTTTCGCTTGTCTGCCCAGCTGTTTGCAGCAGATAAATCGACCTTTGATAAGTTGCGCGACGGCCGATGCAGGATGAAGTTTAGGTGTGAAGAAGTGGTCATGGTTTTATGTGGACCGAGGTACTGCGAAAGAGCCCAGTCCTTGACAGAAGGACCATTAAAGTCCTTAACTAAAGCCTTTGGCTCAAGAGCCTTTCCGCCCGGCAGCGTGGCGGTGGCAATGATTTACTTTTACGGAACTGAGCGCCGTCCTGCCTGGTCCAACCTGGAGGACCAGGAGACTGAGTTTTTTGACCTCTCAGCGTTGACCAACTGGGTAGGAATAGCTCTCAAGGGGGCCGGAGGCACCAACTAGTGTAACTCAATGGGTGAATGAGATGCGTAAACAGTCGCACCACGTTATGATCCAGTTTCGTTGAGATACATGCCTCAGGATAGTACCTACGAGTATCGATTAAGAGCAAGGAAAACGAATCCAGAACCACTGGCTCGACTTGACCACCATCAGGTGAGCCAGAAGGAAAATACGTGGTTCGTTAGGCGTCACTAGGACGCTCCTGACTCGCGGATTGGAGATCCAGTGACCGCAACACACCCGGCTGGAAACGCCGTTGGACATAGACCTGGATTGTACGCATTGGTGAGCATGACTAGAGACACTCCTCATCTGGTTGTCTACTTCCCCTTCTATTATCGTCTTTCCCTTGTGACATTACCAGTTATTAATTCAGTCAACTGTTGAGTGTATCGAAAGTATATAACGTGCGGCAGTGGCTGGTTGGAGGCTTATTAGTAAGAAGTAGGGAATACATATTGACTACAAGGCCCGTCGTACTCTGAAAAGTGTAAACACGGTGTTTAAGAACGACGTTTTGGTTGTAAAGTTGTGGTTGTTTCTGCACCTGGCTTGAAGGAAATCCAGGATAGTCCGGTCAAAAAGGTGCGACGAACTTATGGGTAAACGCAAGTCCTAGCAGGACGCGCTATCTTCCGGATAGGGTAGCCGGGTTGGATTCGATTAGTACCTATAGATTGTTCGGTCACTGCGGTTTCTTCTTTCCAACACTATGTAGATATTTTTGTGTGATTTTTTTATCTCCTAGCTGTTTTACTGTTGTGTCACAAAGGCCCTAGTTATGGGTCTGTCGCACAAGAAGCTTCAGCGTAAACGTCTTACATTTGATCAAGGGGGCAGCGATTAATCTGACCATCTGTCAGTTCTAAACTCTAAACCTCCCTGACTTATCGTACATGCTGTGGCTTAATACTTTCCGTGTTAGGCGCTACGTCATAGCAGTAGCTACAGCGATCAAACCATCCAACAGCCTCAAAGCAGCGCACGCAACTGCTAGTCGCTAGAACATGGGTTGGAATTCGTAGACATGTATCTAAAGTTCGACGGTGAAGCAAACAGCATAAAATGTGTTAGGAAACAAAATTTCGATGCACTTGCAAACGAAAATGTTGCACGCGTTACGAGGCCATAATTGCTTACATGAGTTCGTCAAATGATGCTCTCTCAAACAAGCACCGCAGAACTTCACAGGCAAAATAACATCAGCAGTACGCCGGTACGCAGTAACGGAGCTTCGCTGCCGCGCAACAACCACCAGTCATAATTGGGCTAAGGATATTGAGACGGTCGCCCGATCTTTATGAAGGCTCGAACCCGCGATCATAGGAATACAAGGCAAGCTTGTGAACCTTAGTACTAGACGTCAGCAAATTCCACAGCAGAGCGGATGGTAACCTGATTTCTGCCGTCTGATACTATCCGAAACTGGCATCATCCCTGATAGACTAGAGGCTTCGCAGATCCCAGATTCCCTTTGTTCAATGAACGTCACAAATGATATGTTTAGAAGCTGAGACATACTTATTTATTTCTGTTCTCCATGCGCAATCTAGTTTAATGCCCTACTAAAACAGACTCGATCCTAGTAGGCGTAAGTTTACTCTCGCTCCTCATATACGCAGCAGACAAGCATGTAAATACAGACACATCAAAACTACGAGCCTGTTTTGGCGGAAAATGAAAGCATGCAACTAACCAATAAATATGTCTACAATATCTTACCTGTCCCTTGGTTCTCACTTCAAGTGCGAACGTCTACGTACTTCCAGAAGGCCGCGTGACTTTTGAATACGAAATGTGATCAATACGTCTTCTTTGAGACCATAGACATCAGGTGATTTCCAGATCGTGCAATAATTATAGTGTGCTTAACCATAGAGGAACTACGTAATAGTAGGGCACAATGGAAGGATAAACTACTAAAATATTGGTTGTTCGAGCAAAAACATCGTTTTCATTCATCGATTACTTTAAAATGGCAGAGAATTCTGTCAGGGTTTTTCGTCTACCATTAATGTGTGTCATAATTTACAGGCGTGCCTGATGCATGCAGGCATTAAGCAGTCTGTGATGTTGGCTGCTGGACCTATGTGGGTCTACAGTAACCGTTTGCCTGTGGTATTCCGCATCAGCTCTTAAAATCACGCACTTGAATCATGGGCCCCGACACAGTGACTCACTTTGCACACTTTCATAACGAAGCGAGTGCCACGTTTTAAGCGGTCCATTACCCTATCGCTTGTCTAGGCGTCTGAAGTCATCAAGACGGCACGACGAATAAATTACTTAGAGGGAAGGACAATATTTAGCTAGTTCCACTGAAGCTCCGCCAGGCACGGGTCAGACCAGAATCTGCAGTGGTTTCCGTTGAGAATGTCTGCTAAGTTTTCAAGCTGTCTCCCACTCAAATTAGACATGGTTTGGGCTATGCCAAATAATCTAAGTTACAAAGTTAGCCACAGCCAAAGGATGATTACTGTGAAAAGTAAAGCCAAGAAGTTTTTCTTTCTGTAGATCTCCACAGTGAAATGAATACAGTTTGGTGGTCATGGGTTGCAGTGGCTCCAATTTTTGTAGATACAATATCATTTAACCAGCTTTAAATAAACTGTCCACAACCAATGTGTCCACCGCCACGGGCTTTCATTGAAGTGTTTCAGTTTGCTGGATCTATTGATGATCTGTCGGCTAGGCAGTTACTAAGTGACACTGAGGCTAGCTTAGCATTGCCTCATGGACCAGTAAATACAGATAACATGAAGAGCGAACAATCCAAATAAAGAAAACAGCAATAAAGGGTTACAAGATGAATTTGCTGCCCCTGTGTTTGTTTCTTTAGCAAAAACTCAAAAATATATCGGAACTAGGTAGTGGCGGGAAGAAGAATTATGCCTAAGATCAATTATTCAGCGCCAATGGTCTGAACGTACACTTGATTTCCTAGAGACGGATCTTGCACAGTATCAAACGGTTGAATGCTTCTTCGATAACTATTCTTGTGCACGATTGAGTACGCCCGTTACAAAAATGACCACGCAGTTGAAGAATGAACAATGATTTATCACGGGATAAAAGCAAGTGCGTGACACGTCCCGTAGGGTGGTCGCCGTGAATATGATAAAATCAAAATATATCTGGGTCATCTACCGAACGTCTGTCTAGATGAATACTTTGATAATTAAAATCTGTGTAAAATTAAAAAATTATCTAGCGTAAACGTTCAGAAAAACACTGGGGTGCAGTGATCGTTGAGGTAAGGAGTGAGAAAAGTAAAATATGGTCGCTCACTTAGGTCCATTTGATACATTAATCGTGTTGAAGAGCATGCTTGGCCTAATACACAATAGGGGAGTTTAGGCAACAAAATGCTGGGAGTTAAGAGCAACATCTACTCGTTTTTTGACAACGTCCAAGGTGGGAGATGATACAACTGAGTCTAGGAGTGCCTTCCAGGGTTGGCAAACCCGAAGGGAAAAGTAATTCCGTCGACACTTTAGACGGTTATATTCTTCCTTCAACTTTAAGCAGCTACCCCTGAGCTGCTTGTTATAGCTGAGTTTCAGCAAATGGCGGCATACGTGGTTGGGGCCACTCAGTATCTGATACGCTAATATGAGAGCACCGCGCAGCCTTCGATAGGGTCTGTTGAAAATCCCCAGCAACTTCAGCCTTCGGTAAGAGTGATAGTGCAGGCGCTTTGCATTCTTACTTGCTCTTCGTTGTGGTGCCTCTAACGCCTCTAGCTCGCGCTTCAACCAAGGTTGCCAAGCTTGGATTGTGTATTCAACATGCGGGCGCAAGCAGGAATTGTGCATCATTGGGAAGACTGATGGGTCACATCTCCCGAAAGGCCTTCGCAGCATGCCGACATGCTGGTTGCCTCATTTTGCAGCTAACTCAGCCTGTTTTAAACAGCTGAGGTCGCTCTATACGAGCACACCAAAGTCACGTTCCTGGGAGCTATTCTGCAATCCGTTTGGCCCAAGTAAATAGTGTAGTTGTGTCTATGGCGTAATTGTACAACGCAACATTTGTCTATGTTGAATGGTAGGGCGTTTTGAACTGACCAGTTCGACACTGTGTTCAGATCGCACTGGAGCCGTTCTTGGTCACCCGGCCCTCTGATCCTTCGCCATATCTTGATATCATCAGCGAAAAATAGGAAATCGGAAGTAATAGACCTCGCCAAATTGTTAATGAACACCAAGAATAAACGAGGTCCAAAAACCGAGCCTTGTGGTACTCCACACACCATGTCGATGGAATCAGACAACGATTCGCGGACTCGCGCCACTAGCCGTCGTTCGTGTAGAAAATTGATACTCCAACTCAGGATCGGGTCGCCAGTGCCGTAGTTCCGATGCTTCTGAAGGAGAATTCGATGGTCTAAGCGATCAAACGTTTTTGAAAAGTCCAGGTAGATCACACCGACTCCTACTCCATCATCAACAACTTCAGTCCAGCTATTACGTGCAATTAATAAGTTATAATTACACGAACGCTTTTGACGAAAGCCATGTTGCTCTGAAGCTATTAATTGGTGGCTTTCCAGGTATTGCATCAGCACATCTGCGATGATTTATTCCATCAGTTTGGATAGTACTGGAAGTAGTGTTATTGGACGGTAGTTGGTAGGGTCAGTGCGGCTACCTCCTTTATGCATAGGAGTGATAACCCCTCGATACCATACTGGTGGAATCTCCTTTCCTCTAGACATCGCTGATAGAAAGCGGCAAGTGGTTCTGCAAGATCAATAGCTACCGCCTGCAGAGCCTTTGGTCAGATGTTGTCGACTCCAGGAGAACTGTGGATACGCAAGCATAACAACTTCTTCAACACAGCTTCCGCAGTGAAGGCGATGTTGTCTAAATCCGACTGTGGAGTAATAGAAATGAGGAGAATATTTAAGCTCGTTACCTGCTGGAAAGTTTGGGAGTAATGAAGCCGTAGGAGATCAGCTGCTTCCACTGCTGATCGCGTGCATCCATCAGCCGTGACTAGTGCTGGAACCCCCGCTTCACCTTTCGAAGATCGTTAACGTGCCTGTACAGGAGTTTGCGGTTCGTGCAGAATCGCTTCACTAACTTCTGCTGATGAGTGACCTTGTCTTCGCGGATCAGTTTCACACAGAAGTTACGATGGGTCATGTATGTAGTCCAGGTTTTGGCATTCGGGAAGTCCTGGTGATCCCGCCATGCCAAATCCCTCCGGGACATGCATTTACGTGTTCTGCTCCTTAGAAATGAATTACGCTTGTTTTTAGGGTGGAAGGACTTCTGCTATGATGCGTGCGCTACCAGTGTACTAACCGTCCTTGTAAATGTTTCCCAGGCAACATCTGGGGGCATTCGGTTAAGAAAGTCCAAGATGTATCCTTTACAGGCGTAGATAACACATTATAGTGAGTGACAGTATGCACTTAAGCAACCAAGTTTTTAGGATACTCCGCCTAGCATGCATACTCAGAGACTAGAGTAGCATGATCACTACGATCCAGTGGTGTGCTTGTAACTCTCCTGTCAACCATGAGTTCTCCGTTAGTTAACACAAGATCCAGTATTGATGGCTTGTTAGCAGTTAGAAATCTGGTGGGAGAGGTTACATGGTTGTACAGAGGGTGGCTAGCAATTAGCTCTTGCAAGCAGGTGTTAAACTGCGTACCGTCGGTTGCCGGCGTTTCTATGTCGTGCACGTTAAATTCTCCAGCGATAAGAATGTGGGTTTAGGACTTGTTCAAAGCAAACTGAAAAACGCGGTTCAGTTTGGAGTCCATTTTCGACGTTGAATTTGATGGGCTGTAAAGCCAGGCTAGTAGACATGTGTCCTTGTTTCACAACCATAGGCGGCACCGAAGCAAATCAGGAGCTCGGATTGCCGGGTGATCGATAACTTCACATAGGAGGTTTGTATTACAATATAAAATCACACCGCCACCCCTTCCGGTTCTATCGGTCCGAAGCAGCGACAAACCAGGTAAATTGATCTCAGTATCGGTTAACTCAGAGTTTAACCATGTCTCTGTAATCATGACAAGATCCTGCGGTTGTGAGGCATGGAATTCTCTAAGTTCGGCCAAGTTACGCAGAAGGCCTTAGGCGTTTGCGTACATGCAAGATAGTGCTTTTGTTGTTAGGTATGCGTTAATGGATGTCAACTTGGTGTTAATTTTTAAGCCGGCCGTTAGGTGTACGGCCATTAATTGTTTGTTGGTTTGTGTATTTCAATTATGTTGGATGGCATTATTGAGCGTTCCAGAACAGTGGTTTCACTCGCGCTGTGCTCTGTCCTGTTGTGTGCCGTGGGCATTATTGGTTCGGTCTCTCTGCGGGACTGGGAAGCTAAAGAATTTGTTGCGTCTGCAAGTTCCATCAAATTGCTTCCGACTTTTGGTCGTTCGCCTGCTACCTTTAGCCGGTTCTCTGTTGGCAACCTAGCTCGAAACTTTAACCAGCTGTCCAACAGAACTTGCTTCATCCCTTGGAGTGGAGTATTACTTTCATTAGCCCTGGACCGCATACCTTGTAGTTAGGTGCTGACGGAACTCTTGTCAAGAATTTGGCAATAACATTGTCAACAGAGAGTGCTTCGCGGATGTAGCACCACTGCTCTCGGTCATGTGTTTGTTCATCGTGATCAGAAGAATGCAGAAGCTCAGAAACACCCTGAACAAATATTGTTTCCTTGATATCCCTATTAAGAATGCCGCGTTGCTTAACTGCTTCTTTTAGGCAATCTTTTCAAGGTAGATCAGGTAATATGCACGCTCCGCTCGGTGAGTTGCGAAGACGAGTTGCTGAGAGTAGGACAGCCTCTGTCTCATCTGCTGAGTTTAGTGTTACTCGAAGAATTCGAGGTTCACCAGAGTGCACTGAGGTCGGGTGACGCGCTACACGTTGCAGCACAGCAGCCTCAACCTGAATACCAATCGCATCGCAGATGGAACTCCACTGGTTGCGATCGTCTTGCAACTTGGCTTTTATTGTGCCAGAGTTGGATTCGGGAACATTGGTGCACAAGAGAGTTAA